TCCGACAACAACCCGCTTCAACATGGGTTTCTCTCCGACAACAAGCTGCCATGTAATAAAACTGAAATACCGTTAAAAATGCGAAAAACCCTTATATCATAAGCATGCGTTTATGAATCACTATTAAGTGTTGATGACACCAGATGTTGCGGAAAGGTGCCAATGCCACCCGTCACAAACATATACAAAGGCAGGTCATATTGTTGACCTGACAAAAATAGGGAACATATCGTACAATTCTAAATAGGGAACCGCATCAGACATCATTTTTGTCACTGATGCGACAAAATTGGAAATGTCCTCCACGCGTCAACCATAAAACGTTTGGAAGGCCTTGGGGGGGGGGGGGGGGGGGGGTGGTGCAACCCTGACAAACAACTTTTGAGCAAGAGTTGCATGGCGCCAATTGAACTCTTCCTTGAAATAGAGATTGCTCGATTGTACCTCAAACATTGTGACATGGTGCTGTAGTTGTTCGAATATTGCTGGACGTAAAGGGAAAGTTGACGATTGGAAAGTTGAAGTCATCTGTCTTGTGGAGAGGTTTTTGTCACTCTGAATCTTTATGCATAGATCGAAATATGAAACAGGAAGTTCATTGATTTCTTATATTTCGAGTTCAGGTAGGTGAATCAGTGGAAGAGAAATGGCTATTTGGTGGTTCTTGAACGATATCAGATCATCTATATACCTGATACATAGATTAAATTTCTTGGCCAAATTCCCATGTTTTGATTTTGCGAATCCAAGCCGAACCCTGGTATTTCAGGCCTGTCAGAGGACGCAACTACACACCTTTCATGTAGTGCTGCGGGTGACAGCTGTCTAGGACAGAATGAGTTTATTCCAAATCTGTTTCCTCTATTACCGTTTGTGCATTCTACCAGTGACCACACCATGCACCGATTTAACCCACTCAGGAAGTCATTCAACATGTCCCTCTTCTCTTTTGGTCCAATATTAGCATACGCTTCGACAGTATCTATAATGAGTTTCAAGCTGTGATCACAAGCAGGTCGTTCGCGATAGTTTGGGCCCTGTTTGAATAACCTGTGAAGATTGTTAGTATCAACGATTAATGTGGTAATTTGACCAACAGGTGGTTGGCAGTATGGGAAACATGGGCAGCCACAAGTTTATTTGTTGTTTAACGCCGCACTCAGCAATATTCCAGCCATATGACGGCGGTCTGTAAATAATCGAGTCTGGACCAGACAATCCAGTGATTGATATCATGAGCATCGATCCACGCAATTGGGTGACATGCATCAACCAAGTCAGCGAGCCTGACAACCCGATCCCGTTAGTCGCCTCTTACGACAAGCATAGTCGCCTTTTACGGCAAGCTTGGGTTGCTGAAGACCTAGTCTACCCCGGGTCTTCACGGATCGGCAGCCACAAGTAGTGAAGTTTACGTGATGGGTTGCCAAGTCCGAAATACGTTCCTTTAATTGAACAACTTGGATGAAATGGTCTTCGTATAGGTAATTGATTATCGTCGGTAAATCCAATACCCTCACTCACCCAACGCTCTGACATGATTCGGAGAATATGATTCAGTTCTAACGCGGATAATCCAGGTCATATCGTGGCATAGCACTTAATAAGAACGAATACTTCAACACTACTTCCGGTGCTACGTGGTCGCATGTAGAATCACATTACGACGCTAACTGGGAACAGGCAGGGCACGATCTGGGCTTAATTGTTGTTTGTCCATGTGATCGTGGATCGATAGTACAAGAAGGTTACGTCAAATATATTAAATGGATTGAGTCATCGACTGCAGGCCGCGAGAAAGGCGGCACTAGGAAGAAGTGTACAGTTTCTGACATATTTATCCTGATATTGTCGAGATGAAACATCGAAGAACAGACAGGAGTGCAATTTAATTATTTCGTCCGCCGTGTTTGAGATTGTTTTTATATTTAATTCTGCAGCTAATTTGTAGTTAGTTCTTTTATGATACAATGTACCATACCAGGGTTTTTTAACGAGAGGCTATGCCATTAAGTGGTCAATTTACTTAAAAGCAATCTGTGTTTTATATGCTCTATGCCATCAATTAGTTTATTGATCAAGACTGAACGAGGGCACTTAATGCATGCACAATATAAAGGGAGTACTACAATTTACGCCGTGTTTGAGATACTTTATATTTTTAATTCTTGACATATTCAATAGAGGGTCAAGGGTCAGTCAAAGGTCAAAGTCGCATGCTGATAAATGCTAACATGAACGTACCTGGCTGCACGTTTTCAAATGGTGCTATCCCTCTGATAGGTTCATGCTTTGAAAAGGGACGTTTGTCAAGTACAAAGGTCAAGCCTTCAGTCAGGTTTTCATTGTCATTGTCATTTTCTAAGGAACTGTTATTTCGATGGACATGACATTTACGGATAGAATGTCAGACCATGGTCGTCATTAGGGTTTCTTTGAATAATGGTTTTTCAGCACCAACTGTCTCAGTTCTGTTACTGCCATTGTGTTCCTGGTTAGAAATGGTTCCTTACACGTATTCGGGGCTTGGTGTAAGATAAGGTCACAGTTATTATATATCCTATTCAGTTTGTGCATTTACTTAGTGATTATTGTCGTATAGCGTATGAAGCTCTCGTGGTTCCGTGTCGGGTTCGAACCCAGGACTTCGGCGTGACATATCAAGTTGATTGACAAATATGAAATACAAGTGGGCCTCCCTAGCAGGTGCTCCTTTCAAGGTTAAGTGATTTCATATAATACTCGGGCTTATCAGGGAAGCAAGCTGTTCTGTCCCCAATATCCACTGATAACTTTGTCACTGGTGCACAGTAGTGATGTTGACTGACGATGTTCAGTAGTGATGCTGACTGACGATGTTCAGTAGTGATGTTGAGTGACGATGTTCAGTAGTGATGTTGAGTGACGATGTTCAGTAGTGATGTTGACTGACGATGTTCAGTAGTGATGTTGACTGACGATGTTCAGTAGTGATATTGGGTGACGATGTTCAGTAGTGATGTTGGGTGACGATGTTCAGTAGTGATGTTGGGTGACGATGTTCAGTGGTGATGTTGACTGACGATGTTCAGTAGTGATGTTGGGTGACGATGTTCAGTAGTGATGTTGGGTGACGATGTTCAGTGGTGATGTTGACTGACGATGTTCAGTAGTGATGTTGGGTGACGATGTTCAGTAGTGATGTTGAGTGACGATGTTCAGTAGTGATGTTGACTGACGATGTTCAGTAGTGATATTGGGTGACGATGTTCAGTAGTGATGTTGGGTGACGATGTTCAGTAGTGATGTTGGGTGACGATGTTCAGTGGTGATGTTGACTGACGATGTTCAGTAGTGATGTTGGGTGACGATGTTCAGTAGTGATGTTGAGCGACGATGTTCAGTAGTGATGTTGGGTGACGATGTTCAGTGGTGATGTTGACTGACGATGTTCAGTAGTGATGTTGGGTGACGATGTTCAGTAGTGATGTTGAGCGACGATGTTCAGTAGTGATGTTGAGTGACGATGTTCAGTAGTGATGTTGAGTGACGATGTTCAGTAGTGATGTTGAGCGACGATGTTCAGTAGTGATGTTGAGTTACGATGTTCAGTAGTGATGTTGAGTGACGATGTTCAGTAGTGATGTTGACTGACGATGTTCAGTAGTGATGTTGACTGACGATGTTCAGTAGTGATATTGGGTGACGATGTTCAGTAGTGATGTTGGGTGACGATGTTCAGTAGTGTTGTTGGGTGACGATGTTCAGTGGTGATGTTGACTGACGATGTTCAGTAGTGATGTTTGGTGACGATGTTCAGTAGTGATGTTGAGTGACGATGTTCAGTAGTGATGTTGAGTGACGATGTTCAGTAGTGATGTTGGTTGACGATGTTCAGTAGTGATGTTGAGTGACGATGTTCAGTAGTGATGTTGACTGACGATGTTCAGTAGTGATGTTGAGTGACGATGTTCAGTAGTGATGTTGAGTGACGATGTTCAGTAGTGATGTTGAGTGACGATGTTCAGTAGTGATGTTGAGCGACGATGTTCAGTAGTGATGTTGAGCGACGATGTTCAGTAGTGATGTTGAGTGAAGATGTTCAGTAGTGATGTTGAGTGACGATGTTCAGTAGTGATGTTGAGTGACGATGTTCAGTAGTGATGTTGACTGACGATGTTCAGTGGTGATGTTGACTGACGATGTTCAGTAGTGATGTTGAGTGACGATGTTCAGTAGTGATGTTGACTGACGATGTTCAGTAGTGATGTTGACTGACGATGTTCAGTAGTGATGTTGAGCGACGATGTTCAGTTGTGGTGTTCAGTGACGATTTCGGTTTGATGTTCATTGACGATGTTCAGTGGCAATGTTCAGTAGTGATGTTGAGTGACGATGTTCAGTAGTGATGTTGAGTGACGATGTTCAGTAGTGATGTTGAGCGACGATGTTCAGTAGTGATGTTGAGCGACGATGTTCAGTAGTGATGTTGAGTGAAGATGTTCAGTAGTGATGTTGAGTGACGATGTTCAGTAGTGATGTTGAGTGACGATGTTCAGTGGTGATGTTGACTGACGATGTTCAGTGGTGATGTTGACTGACGATGTTCAGTAGTGATGTTGAGTGACGATGTTCAGTAGTGATGTTGACTGACGATGTTCAGTAGTGATGTTGACTGACGATGTTCAGTAGTGATGTTGAGCGACGATGTTCAGTTGTGGTGTTCAGTGACGATTTCGGTTTGATGTTCATTGACGATGTTCAGTGGCAATGTTCAGTAGTGATGTTGAGTGACTATGTTCAGTAGTGATGTTCAGTGGTGATGTTGATCTTCGGATATTCAAGGGGGGGGGGGGGGGGTGTTTAGGTTTCACATTATCAAATCCCCTATTTTACATATTCCTCTAATATTCACAGATGTTTTTATTTCATGTGGAAAACGGGCTCAGGTAGTCACGGACATGTTCGTTTCATGTGGCAAACGCGCTCAGGTAAACACATGTCGGTTTTTTATGTTTCAGGTGAGGTGGGTAAAGAGATGTACATTGTCAACCGCGGGAGATTGCACGTGGTGGCGGACAACGGGAAGACGGTGCTCGCCACTCTTAAACCAGGCAGCTACTTCGGTGAAATCAGTATATTAAACATGGGCACTGCCGGCAACAGAAGGACCGCTTCCGTGCGTTCGGTAGGGTATTCAGACCTGTTCTGTTTAGCAAAGAAAGACCTGTGGGACGTTTTAAAGGAGTACCCCGCTGCCAGAGTGAAACTGGAAGCAATTGCTGTGAAACGCTTGGAAAAATATAAAAAGGCGCCATTAGAAAAAGGTAAGTTTGTGTGGAGACAGAGTTCTCTTTCAAATGAGAACAATAATAATGTTTCTCATTGTAGGGTATTGTAGTTTCGCTTTATATTTATTCCTCATAAGAAGCGGGTTTTGTTAAGCGAGTCACTTCTTGTCGTAAGATAACATAACTAATTAAATGAAAACAAAAACATAAACTAACATATTTTTCTGTAAAATATATTTTAAGTGCATTTTAGAAAAGATTGTTTCGAAATTTCTCATAAGTTGTCTTAAAACATCTATCGATAATCGTTTTCTATGTATTTTAAACAGCATCATCAACCATTACAATGTCATTGAATCAGGCTTGTTAGTGGGGCCGTCAAGCCAAAATGAGAATTGCAGTTATGCCTAGGTCGAACTTCAGACATTGTATCTGGGCCCAGTTACGCAAAGATATCTTAGCTACGGCTGTTGTAGCATCTTTACGTCAACACAGACCTACGGCAGTCGTACCGCTACGATGGCTTTTAGAACCAGCCTGTTCCACAAAGCGATCTTAGTGCTACGACTGCCGAAAGCCGGTGTTAAATATGGGAGTTACGATCATCTTAGCGCTAAGATCGCTCTGTGGAACGGGCCCCAGGTTCAGTGTAATTAGAGAAGATTTTTCAAATGAATAACCTGTCCCGAAATATACCCAAAATGAATAGTTTGTTAGCAGTGGTGAAAACAATAAATACTTTGTTTTGTGGAAAATACACCAACGTAAAAAATGTATGTAAATAATGAAACTTAATAAATAAATAAATAGTTGGATACAGCTGGGAAAAAATAGATTGTTTTCAAAAAAATGTTCCAACCATCTCCGGGGGGACGGGTGGCCCAGTCGTTCAAGGCGCTGCGATTCGCTGTGCAGAGTTGCGTCCCTTGGGCACGCCAGAAACCTATGATTGTTGGATCGAATCCCGGTTCGCCCCGATTATGTTTCTAGGTTTGTCAGCACAATACCTGTGCTCCTGGGTTTCACCGAAGTGGTAAACGTCTGAGACCTGCATCACGTCGGGCTTTCCTCCCACATTAAGCTGTGCACAGATTTGCGTCCCCTGAACAAGCCAGAAACCTATGAATCCCGTTTTGCCCCGATTATGTTTCTAGGTTTGTCAACGCCATTCCCGTGCTCGTGGGTTTCACCGAATTGGCAAACGTTTCAGATCTGCATCACTTCGGGCTTTCCTCCCACAATAAGCCGACAGGCTGGGATATAACTGGAATACTGTTAAAAGCGGCGTTAAACCCACACACCATCTCCATACTGATGAAATATATGCTCCCTCAATGAAATGTTGCCGGCAGACCTAAAACCATCTAACAATGGACAGTAAATACATGAATTACAAGGTGATAAGTCAAAGGTAATACTTTAATAAACACTTATTCGTTTCTTATCCTGTGACGTCCCATATGGTATTTCTGAGTATTTCTAATCACGACGATTATTTAACTCGAGACCCGAGCATCATCTCAACCATAAATCTCGCCAAGTTGTATCTTTGACCTTTCTGGAAGCAGACGACAGATTGAGAGAAACTGTCCCTCGTGACTAGGAATAGTGGTTGATGGCGGAAGCTATAAACCACTCGACGAGTGATAGACGTTGCAAGCAATGTCAGCGAGATGACATCTATATTTTACACCCCCATTCCCAACTATCTCAATACACCTCCACCCCCAAAGCCTCCATTTCCATAAACGTACACCCCACACTCCTTAACCCCCAGCCCCACACTGTACCCATCAACCCACCTACACTTTCACCCCGTACACAAGACCGCCTCCGTGGTCTAGTGGTAGAGCGTCCGCCCGGAGAGCGGAAGGTCCGGGGTTCGATCCCCGGCCGCGTCATACCAAAAGACGTTAAAAGATGGTACTTGTTGTTACCCTGTCTGGCGCTCTGCATTAAGGGGCTAAAACAAGGACTGGTCGGCTCGGAGTCAGTATACTGTGTCTCAGTGAGCAAGCACTATAAATCGGCATCAGTCCGGACTAGTACAAGCAGCCACACACACACGTGCATGCACGTCGCTATATAAGTGCAATAATCATGGACGTGACGTTAAACCCCTCACCTCACCTCACCTCACCTCACCTCACCCCGTACACCTTCACTCTATACACCTTGGCTCAATACACCTTCACTCCATACACCTTAACCTCATACACCTTCGCTCCATACACCTTAACCTCATACACCTTCGCTCCATACACCTTAACCTCATACACCTTCGCTCCATACACCTTCGCTCAATACACCTTCACTCCATACACCTTCACTCCATACACCTTAACCCCATACACCTTCACTCCATACACCTTCGCTCCATACACCTTCACTCCATACACCTTCGCTCCATACACCTTCGCTCCATACACCTTCGCTCCATACACCTTCACCCCATACACCTTCACTCCATACACCTTCGCTCCATACACCTTCACTCCATACACCTTCGCTCCATACACCTTCGCTCCATACACCTTCGCTCCATACACCTTCACCCCATACACCTTCACTCCATACACCTTCACTTCATACACCTTCACTCCATACACCTTCACTTCATACACCTTCACCCCATACACCTTCGCTCCATACACCTTCGCTCCATACACCTTCACTCCATACACCTTCGCTCCATACACCTTCACTCCATACACCTTCGCTCCATACACCTTCGCTCCATACACCTTCGCTCCATACACCTTCACCCCATACACCTTCACTCCATACACCTTCACTCCATACACCTTCACTCCATACACCTTCACTTCATACACCTTCACCCCATACACTTTCACCCCCTACACCTTCTCTCCATACACCTTAAACCCCGTACTCCTGAACCCTCGCTCAGATTTCCGCTCAAACGACCCCCAATCCCTAGCCCCAGTTAACGGTAGGTGAAGCTTTCATCTTTCTTATATCCGCTGCAAAATGTTTTCCATGAAACCGATCCAATTTATAACAAAAAAAGGACCGACTCACACGTATTTTCAAAGCCGTCTCGTTCGTCTGTATATCGAACACGAATGGAAATGAAAAGACATTATTTCTAATTTAAGACTTCTTTCTGTCTGAAAGCCACATACGCTCAGCCTATGTTAACATGTTCCAGAGTCGAGACGAGAAACAGTTGTCTCTGTCAGCAAAGTGTGCTTAATTCCTTGTTTTCAAGTCAGTTGGGAAAACGTTCATTGTACTTAGGAAAAACACGATAGGTTTTTAAAGGTGTTGATTTGAATGGGGCGGTGTATCGCCTCATCCTGAATTTGCCAGAGCTGGGCGGTAAGTGGGTTACTTCTCCGTTGGGGATATCATCGAGGTTCTGTCGACCTTTTAGATAAACCGGTTCTCGTCAATATTGCTCAAAATAAGATTACGGCTGTTGCATCACCGGCCTGGTTTGATGAAGCGCGGTCGCCGTTGCAGATCGGGAGTAGCAGACGCCGAATGAACGTGTGTTTTCATAACAGTTGAAACACGCATCTTAATGGTTGAGTGTATCTCAAATTCACGCCCGGGCTGGTGAACGTGTTCATAAGGAGCTCGGACATGCAGGGTGGTCAGTAGCTCGAGAATGCAGGGCGATCGGGGATGCAGGGTGGTCAGTAGCTCGAAGATGCAGGGGGGGGGTCAGTAGCTCGGAGATGCAGGATGGTCAGTAGCTCGAGAATGCAGGGCGATCGGGGATGCAGGGTGGTCAGTAGCTCGGAGATGCAGGGGGGGTCAATAGCTCGGGGATGCGGGATGGTCAGTAGCTCGGAGCTGCAGCGGGGTCAGTAGCTCGGAGATGCAGGGTGGTCAGTAGCTCGAGAATGCAGGGTGGTCAGTAGCTCGGGGATGCAGGGTGGTCGGGGATGCAAGGTGGTTAGTAGCTCGGGCATGCAGGGTAGTCAGTAGCTCGGGCATGCAAGGTGGTTAGTAGCTCGGGCATGCAGGGTGGTCAGTAGCTCGGGCATGCATGGTGGTCAGTAGCTCGAGAATGCAGGGTGGTCAGTAGCTCGAGAATGCAGGGTGGTCAGTAGCTCGAGAATGCAGGGTGGTCAGTAGCTCGGGCATGCAGGGTGGTCAGTAGCTCGGGCATGCAGGGTGGTCAGTAGCTCGGGGATGCAGTGTAGTCAGTAGCTCGGGGATGCGGGGTGGTCAGTAGCTCGGGGATGCAGTGTAGTCAGTAGCTCGGGGATGCAGGGTGGTCAGTAGCTCGAGAATGCAGGGTGGTCAGTAGCTCGGGCATGCAGGGTAGTCAGTAGCTCGGGCATGCAGGGTAGTCAGTAGCTCGGGGATGCAGTGTAGTCAGTAGCTCGGGGATGCAGGGTGGTCAGTAGCTCGAGAATGCAGGGTGGTCAGTAGCTCGGGGATGCAGTGTAGTCAGTAGCTCGGGGATGCAGGGTGGTCGGGGATGCATGGTGGTCAGTAGCTCGGGGATGCAGGGTAGTCAGTAGCTCGGGGATGCAGTGTAGTCAGTAGCTCGGGGATGCAGGGTGGTCGGGGATGCATGGTGGTCAGTAGCTCGGGGATGTAGGGTGGTCAGTAGCTGGAGGATGCAGGTTGGTAGGGGATGCAAGGTGGTCAGTAGCTCGTGGCTGCAGGGTGGTCAGTAGCTCGGGGATGCAAGGTGATCAGTAGCTCGGAGATGCAGGGTGGTCAGTAGCTCGAGAATGCAAGGTGATCAGTAGCTCGGAGATGCAGGGTGGTCAGTAGCTCGAAAATGCAGGGCGATCGGGGATGCAGGGTGGTCAGTAGCTCGGAGATGCAGGGGGGGGGTGGGGGTGGGGGGGGGGGTCAGTAGCTCGGAGATGCAAGGTGATCAGTAGCTCGGACATGCAGGGTGGGCAGTAGCTCGAGAATGCAGGGCGATCGGGGATGCAGGGTGGTCAGTAGCTCGAAGATGCAGGGGGGGGTCAGTAGCTCGGAGATGCAGGATGGTCAGTAGCTCGAGAATGCAGGGCGATCGGGGATGCAGGGTGGTCAGTAGCTCGGAGATGTAGCGGGGGTCAATAGCTCGGGGATGCAGGGTGGTCAGTAGCTCGAGAATGCAGGGTGGTCAGTAGCTCGGAGATGCAGGGTAGTCAGTAGCTCGGGGATGCAGGGTAGTCAGTAGCTCGGGCATGCAGGGTAGTCAGTAGCTCGGGCATGCAGGGTAGTCAGTTGCTCGGGGATGCAGGGTAGTCAGTAGCTCGGGCACGCAGGGTAGTCAGTAGCTCGGGGATGCAGGGTGGTCAGTACCTCGGGTATGCAGTGTAGTCAGTAGCTCGGGGATGCAGTGTAGTCAGTAGCTCGGGGATGCAGGGTGGTCGGGGATGCAAGGTGGTTAGAAGCTCGGGGATGCATGGTGGTCAGTACCTCGGGGATGCAGGGTAGTCAGTAGCTCGGGGGTGCATGGTGGTCAGTACCTCGGGGATGCAGGGCAGTCAGTAGCTCGGGGATTCATGGTGGTCAGTTGCTCGAAGATGCAAGGTGATCAGTAGCTTGGGATGCAAGGAGATCAGTAGCTCGGGGATGCAGGGTGGTCAGTAGCTCGGGGATGCAGGGTGGTCGGTGATGCAAGGTGGTCAGTAGCTCGGGGATGCAGGGTTTTCAGTAGCTCGGGGATGCAGGGTTGTCAGTAGCTCGGGGATGAAGGGCGGTCAGTAGCTCGGGGATGCAGGGTGGTCAGTAGCTCGGTGATAGAGGGTGGTCGGGGATGCAAGGTGGTCAGAAGCTCGGAGATTCAGGGTTGTAGGGGATGCAGGGTGATCAGTAGCTCCGAGGTGCAGGGTAGTCAGTAGCTCGGAGATTCAGGGTTGTAGGGGATGCAAGGTGATCAGTAATTCGGGATGCAGGGTAGTCAGTAGCTCGGGGATGCAGGGTGGTCAGCAGCTCGGGAATGCAAGGTGATCAGTAGCTCGGGGTCCGGGGTAGTCAGTAGCTCGGGGATGCAAGGTGGTCAGTAGCTCGGAGATGCAGGGTGGTTCGTAGCTCGAGAATGCAGGGCGATCTGGGATGCAGGGTAGTCAGTAGCTCGGGGATGCATGGTGGTCAGTACCTCGGGGATGCAGTGTAGTCAGTAGCTCGGGGATGCATGGTGGTCAGTACCTCGGGGATGCAGGGTAGTCAGTAGCTCGGGGGTGCATGGTGGTCTGTACCTCGGGGATGCAGGGTAGTCAGTAGCTCGGGGATTCAGGGTGGTCAGTTGCTCGAAGATGCAAGGTGATCAGTAGCTCGGGATGCAAGGAGATCAGTAGCTCGGGATGCAGGGTGGTCAGTAGCTCGGGGATGCAGGGTGGTCGGTGATGCAAGGTGGTCAGTAGCTCGGGGATGCAGGGTTTTCAGTAGCCCGGGGACGCAGGGTTGTCAGTAGCTCGGGGATGAAGGGCGGTCAGTAGCTCGGGGATGCAGGGTGGTCAGTAGCTCGGTGATAGAGGGTGGTCGGGGATGCAAGGTGGTCAGTAGCTCGGAGATTCAGGGTTGTAGGGGATGCAGGGTGATCAGTAGCTCCGGGATGCAGGGTAGTCAGTAGCTCGGAGATTCAGGGTTGTAGGGGATGCAAGGTGATCAGTAGCTCGGGATGCAGGGTAGTCAGTAGCTCGGGGATGCAGGGTGGTCAGTAGCTCGGGGATGCAGGGTGGTCAGCAGCTCGGGAATGCAAGGTGATCAGTAGCTTGGGGTCCGGGGTAGTCAGTAGCTCGGGGTCCGGGGTAGTCAGTAGCTCGGGGATGCAAGGTGGTCAGTAGCTCGGGAATGCAAGGTGATCAGTAGCTCGGGGTCCGGGGTAGTCAGTAGCTCGGGGATGCAAGGTGGTCAGTAGCTCGGGAATGCAAGGTGATCAGTAGTTCGGGATGCAGGGTAGTCAGTAGCTCGGGGATGCAGGGTGGTTAGTAGCTTGAGAATGCAGGGCGATCTGGGATGCAGGGTGGTCAGAAGCTCGGAGATGCAGGGTGGTCGGGGATGCAGGGTGGTCAGAAGCTCGGGAATGCAAGGTGATCAGTAGCTCGGAGATGCAGGGTGGTTAGTAGCTCGAGAATGCAGGGCGATCGGGGATGCAGGGTGGTCAGTAGCTCGGAGATGGAGGGGGGTCAGTAGCTCGGAGATGCAGGGTGGTCAGTAGCTCGAGAATGCAGGGTGATCGGGGATGCAGGGAGGTCAGTAGCTCGGGGATGCAAGGTGGTCAATAGCTCGGGGATGCAGGGTGGTCAGTAGCTCGAGAATGCAGGGTGATCGGGGATGCAGGGAGGTCAGTAGCTCGGAGATGCAGCGGGGTCAGTAGCTCGGGGATGCAGGGTGGTCAGTAGCTCGGAGATGCAGCGGGGTCAGTAGCTCGGAGATGCAGGGTAGTCAGTAGCTCGGGATGGCACGACGCTGCGAATACATTCAGTTAAACTACTCTCTTGAGCAAGAGTAATTTAGGAAAAAAGATGAGAGAGAAGCGAAACTATGGCAACGAGTTGGTCCAGGGGATGAATGCCATTTAGAAAGGGGTCCCATGTAACAAATGTTATATTTGTACTTCACTTAGGAAGTGTTATCCCAAATGTAACATGTGTTACCTGGTCCTGGGAATTTAGCATTATGGAGATGCAAAGAACTGTATTCTCGAGGATGCAGCCAAATGTACGTTAGACTTTGCTGACCTTCACCTTTCTTGTTGCAGTTGCAATGTCAAGGAGTAAGAGCACGCCCGGCCTCGTGGAGTCTGCCGGCAAAGTACCGCTGGAGACGATGCTTGTGCACCGCCACCACACCCTTCCCGCCGGCCTCCCCGCCCACAACAGCACAGAGGAGAGACACGACCAGTATGGCGCGGATTACGGGGGAGGAGGAATGGGTCAAGCGTCTCGCAGCGAGGACAACATCATCGCTCACTGCGACGAGCACGAAAGAAACGAGTCGCTGGAATCAGCGCAGCAAGTTGTGTGTAACATGACAACTTCAATGACAATATCGAGTATGACGTCGTACGCCAGTGGATCGCCGCCACAGAGATCACCTGTCGTCACGGAAGCTGCCAAAAGTCCTTTCAGTCCTCCACCGTCGCCTCGACAGACGACGTTCTCTGTGGCGGGAATCTCCACCGTCAGTGCCAATACACCTCCGACCATGTCCGACCACTATCAGCGGACGCAGCCCCATTACCAAGGAAACTTTAACCCCCTTCCACAGAACTACTCCTATGTTAACCAGCCCCAAATGGCGTACCTGACGCCTTTCTCAGCACCCCCAGTCTACAGCCCTCCCTCACCCAATATGATCCTGACCAATCCTAACAGCCTGGGGGCTTCTCAGTCCAGCCTCGTACCCCCTCACCACATTCAGCATACCCTCCAAACTCATTCCCCAATGGCCATGTCGCCCATGACAGCTAGCATTAGTCCAGTGAGCATAGGTTCGCCGTGTAGACAAACAGATACCCAAGCTGAAATTTTGCTCAAGGAGATATCCAGGTTAAGAGAAAGACTCGCTCAGTTGGAGAGTGAGAACTCAGCCCTGACTGTGAAGCTGAACCAGCAACAGTGGGACGTGGAGAATCGCTTGACAGAATTGGAAATGCATATTTGTCAGAGTGACAGTGTAGCCAGTACTGGGTCAGGTGACGAGAAACAGGACAAGCAAGCTCCCGTTAACAGGGAATCGGTCATATGATATAGTGGATTAAGGGGTCTTCAGCGTATGCAGCCCCAGGCCCTACAATCTGATCGTAAGATCAAAACACTGGGTCTGGTTCAAGCATCATCGGATGCTAGTGTGCATGGACGTCTGAGAAGGACAGGGCAACGGGTAGCCATACTGTCAAGGGCGATAACTCCACAGCGGTGATGGGCGCCAGGTGGCCCATGCTGTCCTGGGAACCTACGAGAGCGTTTGATTGTGATGGAAATTTCTGCTGCTCTACCATACGATGTACATCACATTTAGGGACCAGTCTTTCAGAAGCCTTTTCTGAGATTTCAGGGATTGAACAATTAATCTTCTACTTCTAGAGGACGGTGTGCTTCATATCAGTAATCCACAAACGAAGGCGGAAGCTCCCTTCTGAAATGAAAGATACCAAGAGTAGTTCCCCTTGAACAATTTCCCTATCTTCAAAGTGCGAGAGTACCAACTGACCATTGATGGGTTCTCTCCCTTTGCTTCATGTCACTGTGGAAAGGCTCTGCTAGCGCCATCGTGCGGTGAGTGGGTGCAACGGTAGACTACTCGTCTCTAACTTGCTGTGGTTGTGAGTATAGTCAAATATTTCTGCTCAAAATGCGGAATGTTGTGATGACAGAATTGAGTTTATAATCCAAGATTCTGAGCAACTGAGACAAGAGCAGAAAATGTGATGACATCCAGAATTAGGTAACACCTATGTACAACAATGTATATATTTCAGTGCAGACCGTGCATTGATTGGATACACCTCCACAAGATTAAAACCAAAGAAACGTCAAAAAGGCAAATAATCCGTGAGAAAAAGCAATGGTCGTGACGTCACCGCAAAGCTCATATCCACTGCAATACAAAACTGTCCAACATGGAGTTCTCAGTGTTGAATGTGATTGGACAGATATGTCACGTGATGGTGAGCCACGTGACTACCAGTGTCAATGCCAGGGTCGTACCCGATGCAAGAAGAGAACACGCTTCCTTTTTTAAGATGCAATTTAGAACCAAACTAGCATTTGAAAAGCTCAAATATGACGCTTTCTATGTTCTGGGGTTTATTCTAAATACACATTCATAGGTATGTTCAAATGTTTAGCGAGAGGCGGTATGGGGATCTAGAATCAGCCTCAAAACACCCACAGTCAACTACGGCTATGATGTGGCCAGTGGTCCAGTCAAAGAAAAAAACGCTATGACTCACGAAAAAAGGGATTTTCCTAACATTTTAGAAACTGATTTACGGTTCTTCAGTGACCTCTTGATGAAGAACGGACTGAAAATGAATGATAAAAAATGACTTTTTTAAAGAGGTTTTCACGCTTCATGGCAATGGTGGGGGCACGGGTGGCCCAGTCGTCTAAGGCGCCGCGATTCGCTGTGCAGAGTTGCGTCCCTTGGGCACGCCAGAAACCTATGATTGTGGGTTCGAATCCCGGTTCGCCCCGATTATGTTTCTAGGTTTGTCAGCACCATACCCGTGCTCGTGGGTTTCACCGAAGTGGTAAAAGTTTGAGACCTGCATCCCTTCGGACTTTCCTCCCACATTAAGCTGACACGCCGCGATATAACTGGATTACGGTTAAAAGCGGCGTTAAACCCAACTCACTCACTCACTCATGGCCATGGTTCGCTAAATGCAGGAAATGAACTGTCCCCAAACACTAACTGGCGTGATAACCTCTGCATACACGCATGTCCTTCGTCAGATATAAGATATATATTACTACCTTCATCAGTGATCTTAAACGCTCGTTATATCCGAAGTTGACTGTACCAAAACATAAATATGACCCTCGTGAGCATAGTAGACTCTCGTTATTTCGAAATTGAATGAGTGCGTTGGGCCTTTCCAGGTAGGAACACAATGAATCAACATGTACCATTAGTCCAGCAGTACCACAGTGGCGACCTTGGGATTGATTTTCACATGCACATTGTGTCCATGTGTGGAATCAAACCCAGGCCTTCGGCGTGGCGAGATAACACTTTACCAACAAGGCTACCCCTTTGCGATCTCAAGTTGAAGGGGCTTTTTGAGAACATATCAGATGCAATTCGAGATAAAAGGAATGCTATGGAAGATAAGTATTTATCACTATGGCATGAATTACATGTGGATCGAGATAGAAAAACGTAAAAAAGATCCGAATTTGAAATAATTTGAGTCTGCTATGCCACCTTGCATTGCTACCTCTCTTCACAATCTTTACCAGAAAGGTCATGACGTGACCTTGAAACCGACAACGGATTTGTTAAATCACACAAAAGCATCATGCCAAACATAGTCAAAAACGATAAAACGAATAAGACACATTATTTTTCCATGCAATGTCTCTAAACGTTTGGTTACTATGACTCTCATACAAGGCACACGATCCTGCAGATGGAGGTCTGTGAATCCTGGCTTCATCCCTTGTTTGCTGTATCGTATTTTCACAACCGGAAGTGCCGGGCTCTGCGTATCAGACAAAACCGGAAGTGCCGGGCTCTGCGAATCAGTCAAAACCGTCAGCGTTTTCTGTTGCCCTATTCTTGCAGACCGTGTTGTCATTAACGAGTTGGTGAAATGCCTTTCAAATCGTCCTTTCTACTTTTCCCATTGCTTAATCTACGATCGAATGTATTCGGAATGTTGGCGGAAAACCCCCGAAGGCGTCCGATATTACGTGACGTACCGAATTGAATGTGATATCCCTCAGTTTTGAGGCTCTTCGTGACATGCAACAGTACATACGGTGTCACGTTTGTTTTTCGTATTTTCATTCCAGTTTTCTCTATCATACTCACGTTTCTATGTATCTGAGTCGTGGAGTGAAATGGCTTGTTCTCAACGTATTTGTCATTTCAGAATTTAACAGTTTCGTATTTCTTTACCATATCATTCCATAACACGTGACAATATCACCATATCAGTTATCAAAAAATTGTTGTCTTGATACCGATGGTCTCCATGACAACACCACGTGCAGGGAATAAGATTGACGTCATAGATATGTAAATTACAATGATATTGAGTGGGGCGAGTGCGGTAGGCACATTAGATATATATATGAGTGATCGACTTTCGCGCAGTTGATATGTTGAAAATTATTATGTACAATAATTGCAATATAAATTCAATATTTTCATTACTTTTCCAGTCATATTTTAAATAAAAATATCCTCATAGTATATCTACTTTGTTCTAGTAGTTAACTCAAAAGTTGTTTCTTTTCTTTTCGAGGGAAACGCGTTATTCCTCGTGAGGAATCCGTATATGGGGGAATTCCCTTTTGGGGGAATCCCCTACATGGTGTGGAATCACCAATGTGGGGAATCCCCTAGAAAGGGATTTTCCCTACATGCGGAATCCTGTAAAGGGGACTGTAGATTGTCTATTTATTATCGGCGAGGTTAAGTTTGATCAAATATTCAACGTTCATTTACCATAGATGAAGGAACAGTGAACGAGGTTGCCGTTTCACCTCATCGTATAAAATAGATGAAGCTCAGGATCAGCCTCTTTGGCACGCAATCCACGAAGTCCTCCCCTTATCCAGTATCAAGGCTAATGTTTACCGTTATATTCTATTAGTTTGTACGATGACGTGAGACGGCGGAGTATATGCCTAAAGAGGGGCCTTCTTTATGCCTCTTGGGCAGTGTTATAATATTCTACACTTGCGGGTTTACACACCCGAAACTGGTCACTTATATACTATTGATAACCAATACCTAAAGGCCTCATCGAATGCTTAAAAACTCTTCCAGTTATAAAATAATATTTAAGCATCGGGTCCAAAATAAATCGCCGGGGCATTGGGCGGCCATGTTGATTTTTAAGCGCTTTTAAAGTATAGACGTTTTTTAACAAACTTTTGTGTAAATTAAGTATTGATTTCAATTTAAGCAATACTTAATGTACATAAAAGTCATATCGCCCAGTATTACAAATGATACACAAAAGTGTACGATAATGCCTTGTTTGCTATGTACTTTGTAGGTTTCCACTGTCTATCTCCAGAACATTCCAGTAATAACGGGGAATAACCGAAATACGGAAACAACCGATGCTAACCGATCAGTTCCGAACGTGTATCCCTGCTAAGTGTTGGTATGTAGTTCCGTAAGTTTGTACAGGCCAGTAGGAACATTATAGTTAAATAAATATTTCATTAAATTGATTTTCACGTTTACATTATTGTTATGAAATGGAAGTGTGATGGCAATTTTCATTTTATAATTTTATTCTCTTGTTTCTCGCGGTCTTCCAGCCTGTTCCTTAATCTCCTTACTCAGTACGCGATGCAGGGAGTTTACGTATAAGTTCCTTGCAGGGTACATTGAGTTGCGGAGTTTGGCAGACCTATGGAGCAGTGGAATAAATGAATAAAAGTTATTACTTACATACGTTCGAGTTTGATTTGTACTTTTCCTGGCTCGGAACAGATCCTGACTTGGACATTCATAACATAGAGCGTCAATGAAGACCGAATCGGTGGAGATTCCTGGTAGCATATTGTCCCCAGCAACCTGTTTTGTCATGAGTCGACGAAATGGATCGGGTGGTCAGACTCGCTGACGAGGTTGACTGCATGTTATCGTATCAAAATTGGAACAATGCTCATAATGTCAATCACTGGATTGCCTGGTCCAGACTCGATAGTTTACAGGCCGCAATAACTGGCATATTGCGGTGTGCGGCGTTATACAACCAAAAAATAATAGGGGAGATCGGCACATTCTAACACAATTTGGAAGACCCGTATATTCTAACACAATATGGAAGAGCGGCAAACTCTAACACAAAATGGAAGAGCGGAATACTGTAACACAATATGGAAGACCCGTATATTCTAACACAATATGGGAGACCCGTATATTCTAACACAATATGGGAGACCCGTATATTCTAACACAATATGGAAGACCGGCACACTCCAACACAATATGGAAGACCCATATATTCTAACACAATATGGAAGATCGGCACACTCTGACACAATATGGAAGACCCGTATATTCTAACATAATATGGAAGACCCATATATTATAACACAATATGGAAGACCGGCACACTTCTACAAAATATGGAAGACCTGCACACTCTAACACAATAGGGAGGCACGGGTGGCCCAGTCGTCTGAGGCGCCACGATCCGCTGTGAAGAGTTGCGTCCCTTGGGCACGCCGGAAACCTATGATTCTGGGTTCGAATTCCGGTTCGCCCTGGTTATGTTTCTAGGTTCGTCAGCACCATACCCGTGCTCGTGTGGGTTTCACCGAAGTGGTAAACGTCTGAGACCTGCATCACTTCGGGCTTTCCTCCCACATTAGGCTGACACGCCGTGATATAACTGGAATACTGTTAAAAGCGGCGTTAAACCCAACTCACTCACTCACTCAGTGCGGATGACGTCACAGTGAGGTATCTGTTACGTTAGGTTTGGTTTGTTGTTTAACGCCGCACTCAGCATTGGTCCAGCCATATGACGGTGGTCTGCAAATAATCGAGCCTGGACAAGACAATCCAGTGATTGATATCATGAGCATCGATATACGCAATTGGGATACGATGACATGAATCAACCAAGTCAGCGAGCCTGACCACCCGAACCCACTCTGTTACGTAGGAGCAAGGTACGGAATTAGCGGAAGCGGTTGTGGTGCGAGGTCTACCACTTCGTGGCCTGTCTGCAGTTCTGCCCGTCGTTTTCGTACAGAGAGTGATTGTTGCGATGTGCGCGAAACTTAACCCCGACTTCACCATACCAAACGCAGCAACATGAGACGATGTTACATTTGTCTGTCGAACAATATTAACAACTATCTGACATGACCATTATATTTCCAAAACAAATTTTCGGAAAACACTCTTTTGATCGTCAGTTTATAAAGCTACAATAATATTTCAAAGGAATGTAAGGTTGTCAGGATGAACTAAACTATATATAAGGCTATTGAAAAAAATTTGAAAATTGAAAAAATATATATATTCAAAAGGTGGTCTGGTCCGGGAGACGAATTTGGTAGATCTCCAAAACAGTTCTGTCTGGACATGTTATTCCCAAAAAGGAATCGGATTAGGAACAGGTTGTGCAACTTACAAGACCCTTGCTTGTCTTTTTTATCATTTAAACCATGGCTTCTTTGTCTTCGGCCGTTCATTAACTATATTCTCCCCTTCATTTACCTCGTTCATATAACAATTTCACGAAAAAGGTTTGTCGTCAGTGAGATTCGAACCCTATAAGTTCAACACTGGAGGCTAACGCGATACTGAAAAAAAGGAATTTAAGCAATGACATATGTACAAGTATCAAGACGAATAGTTCATCCGTTTATGAGCGGGATATTTGTTTTCATTCAGTATGTTATTCTATATATTTACGTTACATATATCTATATATTTAGCTGTTTTAGTGATGAGTGTTTTCATTAAATAATAGGAA